AGAAAGAAAGAAAGAAAGAAAGAAAGAAAGAAAGAAAGAAAGAAAGAAAGAAAGAAAGAAAGAAAGAAAGAAAGAAAGAAAGAAAGAAGTCTCGCGCAGGAAGTTGAAGGGCACAAGAGTTCAGAACTGGGCGGCGTGTTTCTGAAGAGGGTGGAAACCCCACCGCGGGGTGCAGAGAAGGCGGCGCGCCCAGCCTCTCCGGGCCGAGCCCCTCCCCGGCCTGGGCGGTGCGGAGCGCGGAGCGACCGACCCGGCCATTGCGCGCGCCCAGCCCGCCCGACCCCGGCCGCGGCGCTGCGCAGACCTCGCGGTGAACATGAGCAGCCCGGCGGGCACGCCGCCGCCCCCTGGTGAGTACCGCCGGGACCCGGCCGGGTCCCTGCCCTGCACCCCGGCTGCCGCCACGCGTCCGCTCGCCGTTCTTTGTGTGGGGCTTGCCAAGTGTCGGGCCGGGACTCGCGACCCCCGCAGGGAGGGCGCGCCTGGTGCGGGCAGCGCGCGGAGCCCCGCGCAGCAACAGGTCGCCTCCCTGGCCCCTGCGGCCCTGGGTCTCCGGCGTCCCGGCTGCCTTCCTAGAGGCGGGCCCGCGTTCAGGGAGCCGCTGAGAGCCCTTTGGGGGTTTGTCAGAACTGCTGTTTATTTTTGTTTGTTTTCTGTTTTAAGCGGCCCAGGTTTTCTTGCTGCTGGGGAATCCGAGGTGGTGGGAGGCACTTCTGGGCCTCCCGCGCTGCCGTTGGGTTTTTGAGAGAGAAAGTAAAACTGTGTTTAAAGATACTGGCTGTTTATCCCCCGCCCTGGTTAGAACAAGTGGAGCTTGTCAAAGGGGAGAAGGTCTAACCTACACCATGATCGTGTTGAGGCAGTGCTGTGACAGTGAGGCGGCAGCGGAGACGTGACTTTTGCTAAGTCTACGATGCGGTGGTACACCTGCCCCAGCCCGGGCCGGAGGCGTCGCCTACAAACGCCGGTGTGCGCCCAGCGTGTGTGTGTGTGTGTGTGTGTGTGTGTGCGCGCGCGCGGCAGTGCTCGCAGCGAGCACGAGTGTGCCGGCGCAGATGTGCAGAGCCAGGCCTGTGTGGGGCCCGGGCCTCTCGGTCTGCACTGCAGTCACCTATGCCACTTGCTGGCAAGCAAGCCTGCCTTAGGCTGGGATTCACCAGCTGCGACATGGGAATCAGAAGAGGGCATGCCTCGCCTGGGCCGGTTCTAAGAGTTAAGCGCATATAAATAACTCAGCAGAGAGCCGCAGTCGTAGCCAGAGCTTGCTAAATGTCACGCACCTGAATAGCGACCCCGCCTACGCGGGGTCTCTGGCGCGGGTGCCAGGGCCTGGGCTAAGAAGACAGAGCCCCTGCAGCCCCTCCGCACAGGCTGCGGCCCTGCCAGCTTACTCCTCCCCCACCCTCCAACCCTCTGGGCTTCCAGTTTCAAACACCTCCCTTCTGGTGCTCAGGGGAAGGCGGCTGCGCTTGCATGCCATTCTAGATTACCCTGGGATCTGATTTACGGCAGGATCCCTGCTGGGGGGCCCTATTTCTCTCGGTTAATTCAGACAGGATGTGTCTACATCCTGTCTCAGTTTACAGAGCCACAAACTAGAAGCTGGAGTGCAGAAGAGCTGCTTCCCTGGCCTGGGCCTGCCCTGTTCAGCTGTGCTCGCCTGGGTCCCCCAGGCTGAGGGCCACAGTTCTTGTGAGGGAGTTGGGCACAGCGGTCCGTTTCCTTGTCCTTGCGAAGAGCGCAGAGAGGAGACAGCCAGGTTTGGCAGCTTTATATAGAATTTGCTGCTGCCTCTGGCAGACGCGGGGAGGGCTGCATTAAGGGCCAAATGAAATTCCATTGCAGCCATTGCACAATCCCTCCAGATAGTGTGGGGAGTTGGGAGTCACACGAGGCTGGCACAGTCAGCAGTCCAGCGGCGGGCTGGACCTTCCCAGGGTGTCTTTGGGTCGTTAAGGCTTTCTGGGGACAGGCAAAGCAAAGGAGTATAGGGTAAGAGGGATGTAGTGCTTACAGTGGGAGCCAGTAAAGCCTTGACCACGAGGGGGGAGGCCCCACTGCAGGGTTGAGTTGGCGTGCCTCTTGTGATGGCTGAAAAGAGTGTGCGTGCGTGCATACGTGTGTGTGTGTGTGTGTGTGACAGAGAGACAGAAACAGACAGAGAGACAGAGACATAGAGAAACAGAGACAGAAAGACAGAGGTAGAAACACAGAGAGAGAGAGAGACAGAAAGACAGGTAGAAACAGAGAGAGAGAGAGAGAGAGAGAGAGAGAGAGAGAGAGAGAGAGAGAGAGAGAGAGAGGGAAAGAGGGATAGGGAGTTTGAAAGAAAGATCCCTTCGTTCTGGGAGCTCAACCCAAACACCTTCAAGCATCTGAGCAAACAAATAGGTTCAGCAGCTCAAGCTAAAAACCTGAACTAAATACAGTTTTTAAACAATAAACAGAGTGAAGAGCCTGAGAGGGAAGGACGTCTCCTTTCTACCTCAAGGCCACTTGCTTTGCTGGTTCCCGAGACCCTGCTGCAAGTTGCCTACCCGTGTACAGTGCCTGGTGCCCCTTTACAGAGTCTCCTTTCTCTTGCAGTTCTCTGTAAGAATGTATCTTAACAGTTACCCCCTATTACCTTAGAGAACTCCTCCTCAGAACTGCAGAGTATGAATGGTATGAACATGTTTTTGGCTTAACCAAGTTCTGGGCTCAGAACATCATCATGGATCCAGACCATAATTTCTTTTTTACCTGGATGCAGTGCTTCCATGGTAATGCTTGTACAGTAGGTTTGACTTACATGTGAATATAAGGATAAATTCCCACACAGTTTAATTTTTTATTTAATTCTGTCCACAGTTTAATTTATGGGACAAAGGCTGCGTTTTAAATGTGAGTGGCTATTCAGAAACTGCCCTTCCAAGGGTCACAGCAGTTTCTCATGTGGAGGAGTAAGAGGTAACCTAAGAGAGCTCCTATTTCCCTGCCTCCGTACCCTGTTCAGCTTTCTCTTGGCCAAGCTGATGGGTGAAAGGGTCTTTACTTTGGAATGAGCATTCCTCTGTAATTACGAGTGAGGCCAAGTGTGTCTCCTTGCCTCTGAGAGGTGGCATGTCACTTTCTTGGAAAGTGCTTATCAGCACCCTGCCCATTCGTGGAGCGTGGCCTGGACGCCGCCAGATGCTGGCGGGAGGAGCGGTGCAGCGCGCCGCAGAGCCTCAGTTTTCTCTTCTGTCCAAGGAGAGAATAACAGCACCTGGAAGGAGCCGTGTGATGGACCCAAGTGGGACAGCCTGACCCTGTGAGGTGGGGTTGTGACAGAATATATCTGAGTGCATCTGGCCTGCAGGGGGTGGCTCCCCTGTGAGCTGCTGCTTTTGGCTTTGGGTAATATAACAAAACAGTATTTGAGCCCTATAGGACCTTGGCTGAGTCACCCCCAACACACACACACACACACACACTCACACACACACACACACCCCTGCAATGAGAGAGGGGTGTTTTCTTACAGTTTAGCTGAGGAAATGCTGCTGGCCCAGGGAGATCACCTGCCTCAGGCTCTCAGGTCCCCAGGGTGAAGCTGGGCTGCAGACAGAAGCTGTCAGACCCCAGCCCACCTAAGAGGGCATTAGCAGGTCAAGAGACCTGCTTCTGACTGCACTTGGTGGAATGTGTTGCTCCCCGCAGGGGCCGCCCTGGAAAATCACCCCAGGAGGACCCCAAGTACCTGACAGGTGATCCAGTCCCAGACCACAGCTGTCCCACTCTTACCTCCTGTCCTGTGCTGGGCAGCCCTACCCTAGTCCCCTAGCCTGCACCCTGCAGGGGCATTGTTCCTTGCCCCATGCATGCTACAAACCACCCCCAGAAGCCCAGGGGACGCTTTGTAGCCCTAAATGCCTGACCTGAGGGGCTGCATGACGCACCCCCCACCTCAGCCTGGTGCAGGAAGGACTTAGAAACCCTGAGGCCAATACTGAGGGTTAGCAGCATCCGGAAGCCAGCACCCCGTCTACCCCAAAGGCTGGAAGTGCTTTTTAAAATCATAAGCTCTGTTACTCCTAGGCCAGAACTTGGTATACACTGGGAAGCCAGGCAATAACAAAAGGACACAGATAGAAAGTTAAGCCAAGATGCATTCTATGAACCGAGCGAGGAGGCCCCAGAAGTCGCTTCCAACTGGCGTAGGATCCTATTCTGTCCTCTGCCTCTCTGCTGCCCCCTCTGTCCTTTCTGCCTCCCTCTCATCTTGTCTGGGAGCTTCTGTAGGTCATTTCCTAATCTGACCTTACGTGGAGTGTCGGCTCTGCACTTAGTATAAATTCAAGTTTTTGTACATTCTCACAGAATAGTGCTTCTGTACAGCCCTGAGCCCGCGGTAGCACGGGCCCTTTCCTGGAGTGGGCTAGAGCCCAGCCCCCAGCTCCGACTCCCTCCAGGGCCGAGGATTGGACAGGGCCCTCCTGTGACTCCTCCCTGTGCCTTCCCACCCTGAGCACCCGCACACTGCACAGGAACGGGGAGGACGCCCAGGTGCCACCTGGCCCTGTGGCCCCTGCCCTTCTCCTGCCCAGACACCTTCACGCCCCCAGCTTTGTCACCTCACTGGTAGTTCCTGAGGACACTGCTGTGGCCTCCTTGTTTCTGCTTAGCTGGGAGACTCACCCCCACTCTCTTCTTACCAAGCCCCTGCAGTCACTACCAAGGCAGAGCACCAGCCCCTTCCCAGCGCTGGGCCTATGTCAGGCTCTCGTGTGGGGCGAGCCCAGGCCAGGGCTGCCTCAGTTATCTCGTTGGACCCACCACACCCATGCTGCTGTTTATCTCTTCTCTGCAAGGGACAGAGAGCGCCCCAGACCGCTCATCCCTCCTTTCCTGCAAGCACTGTGCACTAGGTTTGGAGGGTGCGCTTCGCTGAGCCCAGGCCCCAGCTCTGCCTCGTCCTTCCGTGGACTCTGGAGCATCTTCCCACTCTTCCCACTCTTCCCACTCTTCCCACTCTTCCCACTCTTCCCACTCTGATAGGCAGCCACACTCTTACCAGAGTCTCAAAGGCAGGAAACCAGGGTCTCCAAAGGTAGGTCTGGTAGAACAGTCAGAGGCTGCATCAACAAGTCTTTCATTCACAGAGCAGTAGTCGGTGCCCTGTGAACTCCTCCTCAACAGAAGTGCTTGCCATGACCTTCAGGTGACCGTAGGCTACAGACTCCAAGTTTAGGTTGCCCTTTGGAATTCTTTAAACATCTGTTTAGCTCGCATGCACTTTGTCAATGTGCCTGTCACAAAAGGCTGAATAATACCAGCTGGTACGTGATTTCAGGATCCCAGTTAGAGACCCACGACAGGCCGGCCGTGA